GCGACCATGTTCTGGTTCCCCAAGAATCACAGAGGTGGTGGGTAACACTGGGGCTGGCACAAGCTGGGACTAAGCAGTCCCAGCTTGCACCGGCTCTGGGACCGCTGCAACTCTGCTTCCCCTGCCTCCTCATGCACTGCTTTCCCCCAGCTCCTGTTCGCCACCCCTTGCTGCCTCTGATACAGAGGCAGCAAGTGGAGGGGGAAGCGAGTAGTCGAGTAGTCACTGTACTCGACTAGTTACTTACATCCCTAATTTAATAAAGTAGAACCTGTTTGGGGGAATTTTGTCTCATATCCATTTGGACTGTCTAGAGTTTATAAAAGACCCTGAAAGAAGGGAAACCAAAGCTGGCACATCTGCAGCACCATGTTATTTCAGCAGGGGGCACCTTAGGGCCCTACAACAGTACCTTGCTGTACAAAGTCAGTTGGACCATTTGGAAACCTCTCCTCTAAACATACATGAAGAAGAAAGTTTATGATAAGCAGTATTCCCCAGTAGGTTTTGAGAAATCTTCTACCAACAAATCCTTCCATTGGCCCTGTGGCTAAACAGAAATTTGTGCTTGATTTTCTTTGGCTACCTCTGTCTATCTTTTCTTTATTTCCCTTTATTCAATATTTGCTGTCATTTGCTGTTTCGACAAATTCTTCTGAGCATGGAGGTGTGGTCTAATACTTTGCAAACCATGGAAGCAAATCTGGCTCTGTGGCAGCCTGTTGTCTGTGAAATAAAAAAATGAGCTTAATACAATTTTGCACTAGAAAAATAAGATTAGAGGCAATGTTTTGGCTCCAAGGCCTAATTTGAAGCTCTGTAAACGTAACAGAAACAATGTTAGTTGCTTTAGTATTCCCTGTAGATGTGTAACAGAGATTCAGACTGGCTAGAGTATGCAGAATGTATTGGATTGCTTCCACTAGCACATAGCCTAGGTTTCAAATAAAGCACATTTTAAAAAGTGGAGCATGCTTTCATCCCTGATAGATTTTCTTGCCAGTACTACTTTTCTTTCTTTTTATGTGCACACAATAATGTCCTATTTCCAAGGCTGGTATGCAAAATGCTTTATTGGGAGGTTTTCAACTTGTTGACAGATTTTGAGGTGCAGCATTTAAGAGAGAAGGGGCAGTTTTGGGTACCAGATTAATTTAGGGCCAGAGCTCAGGTTTGATGTTAAGTCAGGGATATAGTCTGGTTTCTGAATAGATGGTGTGAAAGTCTTATGCAGTTTTGCTTCCAAATGGTAAAAGTCACAAAGGTACGTGTTCTTGTGAGATTTCCACGATCTTGGGCCAAATCTTATGAGAATTTCAGCCAGATTTCAATTGCAAAATAAGGCTTCTTGTTTTCTATATACTCCAGAAACAGAACCATGGGGGGCAGGTTCATATCTGGAGATTTGCTGCTGAAATACTTCTCTTTCTCTCACACTCTAACTCACTGTTTAGGCTACTCATCTTAATCATTTTATGATTAATTGTCAATATCTATCTATGCACTTATGAATCTTTTAAACCATGATATCCTGAGTGATTTGTAATTCCATTGCTAAACTCTTTATGCAGTTTATACACAGAGATTTCAAAGAATTATAGAATACTAGAACTGGAAGGGACCTCAAGACGACATCAAGTCCAGTCCCTGCACTCTTGGCAGGACCACACCATCTGATCATCCCTGATAGATGCTTGTTTAACCTGCAAGTGTTGGTAATAAAGCTAGCAGCAGAATCTAAACTATTTAGGCATTTGAAAACTACACTCTGCTAGTTATGGATCTAGCAGTATGCAAAAATATTGCAAAAAAAAATACATACATACATACATATATGTGTGTGCACATGTATATCTAATCAGTCTAAATCTTACTTAAAACAATACTGTATCCAATGTCTGTATTCTTGTATATATATATATAGGTTGAATCTCTCCAGTCCGGTACCCTCGGGACCTGATCGGTGCCAAACTATGGGAGGTCAATATCGTCTAATAGCATTACTAACACTTCCACTTGTTACTTGGCTCTTAAGCAGGGGTGGGCTATAATTTTTGATGGGTGGGGGGGCACTCCAAGATTTTGGAAATTGGTCAAGGGCCACATTCTTCCATGATACTAATAGAGGAGGTGTGGGGTCTGGGATGGAGGTTGGGTGCAGAAGGGAGCTTAGGGTAAGGGATTAGGGGGCAGGAAAGGGTTGTGACCTGGAGTGCAGGGGTTTGGGTTATGACCTAGGGCAGGGGACCTAGGGTGCAGGGGTTTGGGTTGTGAAGTAGGGCAGGAGGAGGTTGTGACCTGGGGCAGGGAATTGGGGTACAGGAAGGGGTGCAGAGGGACCTAAGGCAGGAGGGGGTTATGACCTGGGGCGGGGGATTGAGGTATAGGTTCTGGGAGGAGGCTTGGGAGCAGGAGGGGGGGTAGAGATTTTGGGAGGGAGGGTGCAGAGAGTTTTGTGTGGGAGGGTGCAGAGAGGGTTGGTGGAAGGAAGGGCTGGGGTGCCAAAGGCAGGCTCTGGATGGGAGACTTACCTGGGTGACTCCTGACCAGCAGCCCAGCACATTTCTGAGGCAGCCTCCCTGCTGCTGCAGGGGCCATGTGTGTATGTGAATAACTACAAGCCTGAGGGGAAGAGGGGAGTAGTGCTTTGTGTGCTGCCTGGGGCTCTCCTCTGTGTCTGCAGTCCGGATCCAGTGACTTGGTGGACTGGATGTGGCCCACGGGCCGTATTTTGCCCAACCCTGCTCTTAGGGCATATCTTCACTCGCCATGCCAGAAATCGACGTTCTGGTGTTTGATTTAGCGGGTCTAGCATAAGAGCAGCTCTGAGAGCTGCTCTGGCTGGCTGTACTCCTTGCAGTTTTGAGGAGAAAGGGAAGCTGATGGGAGTATTTGCTCCCGTTGGCCTCCCACAGTGGGAACAGTGTCCAGCTCAGCGTTTGGTAAGCCGACTCCAGCTATATACAGTAAAACTCCAGTGGTCCGGCATCCAATGGTCCGGCACCATCTGGAACCCGGAAATGCTCCGGGCAGCTGGACGATTGGAGCTGCTCTGTCCCAGGCTTCCCCGAGTCAGCCGCTGGTCAGTTTCAGCAGCGGCTGACTTGGGGATGCCTGGGGCAGAGCAGCTGGGGTGCTGCCGGGTTGGTCCTGCAGCGCCGAGGGGCACATCCCCCCCCCCCACTCCACCCCAAAACCCTCATAGCCCCCCCTTCCGATAGTCCGGCATATTTGATAATCCGGCACCCCCTGGGTCCTAAAGGTGCTGGATTATTGGAAGTTTACTGTATTTTATGTTGCTGGACTTGGTACCTTAAGCTGACCTTCCAGACCTGGCCTTTATTTACGTAATCATCTGCAGGTACAGCTGCTCGTAGCTCGTTTTCACCACCCTTTATCGTTCCCAGTCAATGGGAGCTGTAAGAAGTAGCACGGGTGAGGCCAACAGGAGCTCTGAGCGGCCGTACCTGCAGACACTCAGGTATGCATCTGGCAGCCCGCCAGGGTTTAATCCTAGTGAATCATGTCCAGCTAGCAGGCCACTTATTGCCCATCCCTGTCCTATGCTCTTCTTTGCTGACTCCAGCTATATACAGTAAAACTCCAGTGTATATTCTGATCTGTTTTTTGTGTGAGTTATTCATACACATATATTTCACGTGCATATATAGAGTGGCCATCTGTCCCCTCCCCCTTTTTTTTAAACCAGGACAGTCCCTTATTTAAGACTTCCTCTTGGCATCCTGACTTTTTAAAAAAAAACGGGCACATTGTCCTGTGTTTCCTCTGGGACTGTGGGGAGAGGAGCCGCTAGTGCTCAGGGCTTTAGCAGCTGAAGCGCCAAGCACTGGCGGTTCCCCTTCCCACTGCAGGACTGAAGCCCCAAGCACTGGTGGCTCCCCTCCCCTCCCCAACCAGCATGCTGTGGGTTGAACTTTATCCTTGAAGCCGGGCAGGGAGCCACCAGCGCTTGGAGCTTCCACTGCTGGAGCCCCGAGCGCTGACGGCTCCTTCCCCCCTCCACTGTGGGGCTGAAGCCCCAAGCACTTGCAGCTCCCCTCTCTCCTCCCCTCTGCTGTGGGGCTGGCAGCTCCCCCACCCCCCCAGTGGAGCTGAAGCCCTGAGCACCTGCGGCTCCCTCTACCTCCCCCAGCATCAGGGCTGACGGCTGAAGCCATGAGTGCCTGTGGCTCCCCTCCCTCACTGCTGGCTGAAGCCCTGAGTACTAGCATGTCTCCCCTCCTGGTGTCCCATATTTGGCTTAGGGAAATATGGTCACCTATGTATATACAACACAGATATTTGAGCTTTAACTATGTATTACAGATTGAAACTCTCTGGTCTGGCAACATCTGTGGTCCGGCATGATTTTAGTTAGCCGGATTTCCACTTATCATGGGTGTGGTCAGGTTTCTTGTGGTCCCATGAAGTTTGTTTACAGCCACCAGTCCTGGCTCTCCATGTTCTGTGCTGTTACTTAGCTCTAATTTGCCCCTAAATGTCTTCTAAAGTTGTGGCCAGTACAATTTTTTAATATCTCTTCAGTGCCTTAGGAGTTATTTGAATCTCTCATACATTTCTAGCCTCTCTTATATGGAATCAACAGTAATTAGTGTTCTTACGAACTCACTGAACAAAACAAATATGAGGATGCCATGTCTCCAGGAATAAAAAGCCACAGTAATATGTGTCCAAGGCATAAACCCAGAAGTGAAGTGTAATTCTATGGTACATGGTAGTGACATCCTTACCCTATAAAAAACTGGAGACCAGAGCTAGGTGTTTGGTTTCTTTTAAAATGTAAGCACACACTACGTCCCCGTCCCCCCGTTCCCCCCGCCATTGTGATATTTGGCTTTTTAACACTTTTTTTTTCTCCCAGTTTAAGTATTTCTTTAGGATGTCATGCTTTGTCTTCTGGGACTTTGATACTCAAGAATATAACAACAATTTAAAAGTAGATTATTTTCAAGCTTTTTTGTGTGCCTTTTGTTTTCAAGGTGGTCCTAGACGTTGGCTGTGGATCAGGAATCCTTTCGTTTTTTGCAGTTCAGGCTGGAGCTAGAAAAGTCTATGCAGTTGAAGCCAGCTCAGTGGTAAAATATGCTGAGGTATGTGTTTTGTTCAACCAGGTACTGAACTAGGCTATAGGTCTATAGTGTACCACAAAGGCAACAGATATCTAGGACTATGTTTTGCAAATGGCAGTGCTGCAGATTTCTGTTTATAATGTGATGAACAATGTGTGTTGTTAGTGTTGGTAATTTAAAAATATCTTTAAAGGTGCTCTAGGTGGTACAAAGTAGTACATAATTATAGTAATATAATAAATCATATTTGCCTTCCTTTTTAATAAGAACTCACAGAATAATAATGATTACATCTTTTCTCCCCTCAAAAAAATAGATTTTGATTTTCCATTATTCTTGATATTTCTGCGCAACTATGTACTTTTAAAAACATATTTAACAAAAATTATTTTAAAGTTGGGTGCTCTATTGATTTAATTTCCAATCCCATAGTATAATTGATCAGCTCTTTCCTTATTCTTAGGAAATAGTTGTTCACTTTATTGAGCTATAAAATACATCCTGTTTAAGTCGAGACAGGGGAATCATATATATAGTAGCCCAGTGTCTGAGAGTCTTTAACGCCGAAATGCTGGCTGTTCCCTCTGTGGGGCGCTGTTGCCTGAAATGCTGGCTGTTCCCTCTGGGCGGCCTGTGCTGCATGCCGCTGCTGCCTCCCCTGTGGCGGCCCGGCTGAGCAACGCAGAAGTCAGCCGAGCGCCACGGCGGGAGGGGAAGGGGGGTGGGGCAGTGATGTGCGGCATGACAGCAGCTCCAGGGCCCGCCCCCGGCCATGAATGTCACCACCCCACCCCCCTTTGCCTCCTGCCGTGGCGCTCGGTTGACTTCTGCGCTGCTCAGCCAGGCCGCTGAGTGGGAGCGACCATTTGGGTTCTGCACCCCCCATGCATCATGGGGAGTGTGTAGCCCAAACAGCCATTTGGGCTCCGCAGTCCCCCGAGTGAGAGGCAGGAGGGGGAGGAGAAGTGAAAGAAAGAGACAGAGAGAGAGGCAGGAGGTGGAGGAGAGCTGAGAGAGGGGGAGGCAGTAGGAGGAGGAGAGAGAGAGACAGAGCGAGAGACCGGAGGCTCAGGCGAGAAGACCGATGTGGAAGAGAGTCCTGAAAATCCCGTCTCATGACGGGCTAATTGGTTAGTAACTACTAGAGTCACTGTTTACTAGATATTGTGTTTTTGTATTTCTTTATTATCCAGGTATCTTCCTTTTTCAATGAGCTCTGATACTAATTTAAAGGTGTTAGATGGACAGCACTTGGAACTTGGCAGTCTTTAAGTATAGACAAAACAATTGAGTTTTAATATTTTTCTTTTGGCTCTGATACAGGGCTCCAAAAAGTCTTCCTGTTCATGGCTTTATACACTTGTATCAGTGAATGAATATTTTATAGAAATGTTCTGGATTTAAAGAAGGTAAATAATGTGATATATGTAGAAGTGAGCTAGGAATCGCAATGCATTGCTGTCATATTCCCAGCTGAGGTTAAAAATGCTTAAATAGAAGCTACTTGTTTTTGTGTGTTCTTTTGTTTATACATAAACAAGATTGTGTGTGTGTGTGTGTGTGTATTGTAGATAGTAAATACAGAAAAAGCTTGAATGTAAACACGTCAAATAGCCATGGAAAGACATGTATAGCAGGCCAGCATTTTTTTTTCTGGAGAATCTTTTCTGCCTTCATATTTAGATTATGGAAAAAATGCTCACTGTGTTTTAGTTTTGCTAATTAAAGGAGACCTGTGTATGGAGTCTGTCATTTGCCAAAACCCTCAAAAGGCACCTGAAAAGTTTTATACATCCCCACACCCTCCTCAAAAATATGTATGGCTATGTTCAGATATTGCTGGGACTGCATGGGCAAATTTAGAGGACTTAAAATGTGGTCCAGACTCTTAATGTCATAATAAACTGAAGTATTAACTAGTAGTGCATTAAGATAATGGGACATTAGATCTCTAATAATAAAGAACAACTAGTGGGCTGCGCGTCGGGCTTGCTATGCTCGCCTACCTCCCCCTGCCCCAGCTCCACCACCCCTCTGGCCACTTTTGTGGCCAGAAAGCATGAAAGCTTGATGACATCATTCTGTCTCCCAGCAGGAAAAACTTTTATATATAGAGAGAGAGAAAAGGAACTCAAATGCCCCAGGACATTGGAAATGAGAAGTGGAATTTTTTGCCTTTTGGTTACAAATTTGAATCTGATCCCGGTCAGAAGTAAACAAAAGTCATTGTTATCTGTAGGCTGGTCGGTGTTTTACATGAAATGAATTTATAGCCTGTGGGCTGGTAGATTATGTATAAAGAAATGAATGCACATACATATTCTTGGTTGTGACACAGGTTCATGCCACATCTGTGTTCTGTCAAATGCTGTATAAACTTATGGTGCAATATAAACCTTTTGTTAAAATAACTGGGCCCTGTTAGTAGAGAGAGAAAGATCAAGAATCCATTAGGTTTGGTAACTGAATTGCCTTCCCAGGTTTCTTCCGGTGATGTCTAAAATACACTGATTGGGCAGGCTCCACAGCTGGAGACTCTCCTTACACCACTCTGATTTTTGTGGATAAACAGAAGACTTCAGTCCTAAGGCTGTCAACCAGCTCTTATCACACGCACTAAATTAACACCGAAAATAGTTTTTAAAAAAGGGAATATGAATATCAATATCAACCACCTCCAAGGTTAAATGCTACAATTGTTTAACACTATCATACAGTTTATGAGCAGAAATTAAAACTACCTTACTGAGTTTTAACTACAGGAGGAATGTTGGGAGGGGAAAATGCAGTTGCCCAAACTGGAATTTACCCTGGGTATAAGAAGTTGGGCTAACTAATGGCCATATCAGCTTTTTGGTTTTACATTTCATTCTAATTATGTCACTTGCAAGAGCATGACACACCCGCCACTGTGCTGAAATGTGGATTCATTATTGTTTTAGAAGGAACAATGTCACCTATTCAGTTTTCAGCACAAACAATATTAGCTGACAGAGCACTGAATTTCCAAATATCATTTTCTAACGTCTGTGTATGGTCCATATACGGTACTGTGTTCCTTGACACTAACCTATCTAATCTACTTCCCAGGGATGACTAAAACTGAAGAGGGAAATTGAAATATCTTAATTTTCCCCTCTAAATAGCAATCTTCCCTGGCTTTCCAGGGAAGAATAAGAGAGTGTTATAGTGAGTTCTCGTTACTAAGGTTTCCTTTTATAAGATACGTGGCAAGAGGCTGGCTAATACGCTAGGAACTATTGATGTGGACACAACTAGAAAATGAGGACAGACAAATGCATAGAATAAAATGGCAGATCACAACTTTATTGAATTTTAATACTGAGAGGGGCACTACCCACCTATCCCCCATACTCCTCTCTGCCATGCATTTAATTGGTTCAGTCAGTGCAGGAGCTACTGAGCTCCTTCCCGTATAACCTGTAACACTGGGGGGCTCTTCTCAGCCTGGCCCCCAGGCCTCAGCTTTGTCCTAACATCTCCTCCCTGCAAGGGGACAGTGGACTAAGCAGGGTGAGGACCTCAGCCCATGAGTGTTGCATGGTCTGACCTCCGATCAAACCATGCCTCCTTGCATCACACCACCTGTCCAGTCCATACCTGCATATCTTGTAGCTGTACCTCAGACCTTCCATCTGACCAATGTTATACCATCAGCCCCCAACACTTCTGGCTGACTGTAGTGGATGTCTCTGTGCTGTATCACTGAACTCCCTTTCTCCAGGATACCCCTTATTTCGTTTCTTACTAGCCTTGCCCACATGCATTAGGTCTGCTCTCAGATTGTCTGTCAATGAGGGTACGTCTAGACTACATGCCTCTGACAACAGAGGCATGTATATTAGACTACCAGGTATAGGAAAATGAAGCGGTGATTTAAATAATCGCCGCTTCATTTAAATTTACATGGCTGCCGCGCTCATCCCAGGAGGCATACCTGGGAGATCGACAAATGCCTTTGATGTCGACCCCCACGCGTCTAGACTACCGCACTGAGCCAACAAACAGCTGATCCAACTTTGTGTCATCCGCAAATTTTATCAGGACACTTCCACTTTTGGTGCCAAGGTCAGCGATAAAAAGATTGGCAAGTGGGAAGCTGCTCCAAGTTTACCAGTTAACCAGTTAAATCTTCACATCCCTAACTAAAACACCATGTTCAGAAGCTTCAGGGAGTAGCTGGGTTAGTCTGTACAGAATGAATTTAAAAAAAAAACAGGTCTGGTAGCACTTAATAGACTAAACATATAGATGGTATCATGAGCTTTCGTGGTCACAACCACAGTAAAACTCCAATCATCTGAAGAAGTGGGCTGTTCCCACGAAAGCTCATGATACCATATATATGTTTTGTTAGTCTATAAAGTGCCACCAGATCAGTTTTTGTTTTTTAAGTTAAAACACCATGAAATATTATAATTTGACATCTAGTTTATTAAATAAAGCTCACAGAGTGGTTCAGTAACTTTAATTTTTTATTGTGCACTTTTCACTTAATTCCAGAATCTAGTAACTCACTTAGCCTTCATTAGCAATGTTCTACTAAATAACCTCTGGGCTATAACAAGAATGAATTTGTTTCCATCAGTTTCTTTCTGGTTACAGTCATCATTTCTCTTGTGGTGTTTCTTGCCATCTCTTTCAAATGTCAGTAGTGTTTACTGCAGAATGTGAAATTAACAAGTTCATTGAGGCATTTCTAGAGCAAATAATAGAAATATCCATAAAGCTGGTAATAGTGAGGAACTTTACCCAGATATCTGTTGGGAAAATAATGCAGAAAAACACAAAATGTCCAATGCGTTTATTAGAATGTGTTTGGGCACAATTTCAGATGGTAGAGGAAGTAATCTGTGAGCAGCCATTTAGACTTGATTCTGACTAACAGGGAGGAATTGATTGTGAATCTGATGGTGAAAGGCAGCTTGGATGAAAGTGGTCATGAAATGATAGGCTTCCCTAATTCTAAGGAAAGGAAGGAATGAGAGTAACCAAATAAG